AGCCCTGGTGCTTGCTTTGGGGGGAGAAGGAGAGGCTGGGAGGAGAGAAAGGGGCGGGCTGGGGAGAAGGAGGCACTTACCACTCCCGCTCCATGGCAGCGTGGGGATCTGGAGTGTCTGAGCCACGATGGTGGAGGCGACTTTATCCCCCAGTGCCCACATGGCTTCACTGGGGGGACCTTCAAACAGGGAGGGAGGGGATGAGCTTGGCCAGCCCCACCAGCCAGTCTGGCCCCATGGCATGGATGCTGCAGAAAGCTGCTCCCCACTGAGCCAGCACCATCAGCCCTTCTGCAAAGAGTGGGGGTGTGGGGAAACCCCCCAAACTGCTGGAGCTTGACCCTTCTCCAGGCAGTTCCCTGGCTGGGAAGCCCACAAGGTCTGCTCCCACCTGACATTCCTCTGTGGATGCTGCATCAGCATGAGAATTACAGGGAAACCCCAGGAAAGAGCAGGATTCTTGAGGCAGCTCCAGGAAACTGGGCTGGTGACTGCCACACCACAGGGTGGGCATGCCAGATGCATGAAACAGGGAGCCAGCATTCATGCACACACAAGCCCAATGCCGCCTTCTCCCTCTGGCACAGGGAGGTGGTGAGACCTTACCTAGGAAAGCTATCCCATTTTTCTGCAGCAGCTCTGGCAGCTTGGGGTTTTCCGAGGCATGTCCCCAGCCAGCCCACACCGCCTGGCAAAAAGAAGGAGCAGTCAAACCATCACCTCCTGCCTGGCAACTTCCCATTAGCCGCAGCAGCGTGCCCAGCTCCTCCACGCAGAGGGACATCACCCTATTCCCAAGTGCCCCCTCCACCTTAGCAGCTTCCCTCAGGAAAGAGGTGGGAGTCCATGAGCAGCTCCTACCTGGACCGGGATCCGTTTGGAAATGTCCACAATCAGCTCCACGTTGGCATAGTTGTTGTTGTTGGTCCCCCCCGGAACAGGCACGTAGTGATCTGCCATTTTGATGTACTCTGCAAGACAGCACATGGCAGCAATTGGAAACTGTCCCTCAAGCCTCAACCCGCTCACACGATGCCCCCTTAGACCCCGTCCCCAAATCCTCCATCCCACAGAGGGTGCAGGACTTACTTACTCCTTAACCTGGCTGCACAGGAGGTAAGTGTGCGACCCTGCGCTGTGCAGAGCCCCCCTGCCCCAGGCAGCAGTGTGGGGCGATGAAAGGGCTGCCCCAGCTCAGCCCCACAGTGGGGAACTCGCTTGTAGGAACTACCTGCATTAGCCTTGAGGTCCTCAGGGGTGACCATGACCACGAACCGAATGGCACGCTCGTTTCGGAACATCTCATAGGCCCACCGGCGGATGGAGCGCATGCACTTCACAGCGGCGATGCCGTTGTTGGCAATAAGGACCTGGGGGGGGACAGGGACAGGGGGTGTCAGGATGAAACTTCTCCTCGCTGCTCAGCGAGCCACCTCCCAGGCAAAGGCAGGGGCGTGCAGGGAAAGACCTTCTCAATGACACGGTTGCCGCCGAAGCGGGTGACGAACTCCGCCGGCGAGGCGACGGTGAAGTCCCGTTGTAGATCCATCTTCTTGTGCTCACGTCCTTTCTTTGCTAGGTTCAGTCCGGACATGCTAGGCCTGCAGTGGGACACAGTGGACATCAGAGAGCCCACAGCCACGGAGCAAACCCTCACCGAGCACAGCGTGTGCTGGTGCCGCTCTGGCTTCCCCGGAGGTGGGATCTGCAGAGCCCCCCCCCCGTTTTTTTCCCGGAGACAACAGCGGGATCTGCAGAGCCCCCCCCCCGTTTCTTCCAGGAAAAGCAGTAAAACCCTTCACCCTGCTGACACATGGGGGAACATCAGGATTCCCCTTCCTCGCTACCAGCTCCCAGTTGCACACCAGGACTCCCCAAGGACATCTACCACCCGCTGCAATGCCGCAGAGGGTGGGAAAACTGGTTTTGGCTGAGTTACACAGGGCATGCAATTTGGGGTGAACAGAGTGTGTTTTGCAACTAAAACATCCTCCCAGCTGCTGCTGGAAACACTCTGGAGCAGGGAGACTGCGAGGGGACAGAGCACAGACCCTCCCTCCCACTGCCAGGATGTTACATGCACAAGTGCCCCTTCGCAGCAGTCAAGGTCTGCTGACCCCATTCCCTAGCTCCCTATTCACAGCACACCCCTCTGCAGAGCTGAATCTGTCCCCCACATCCCCAGAGGACACCCAAACAGCCCAGTGGGGTGAGATGGGTGGCAGGAAAGACAAGAGGCACACAGGATGTCACCGAACAGCCTTCCCCCAGTGCCCATGCAAGCTAGGATGGATTTGCTGCCTCCAAACCCCATGGGGCAAGCAGCAGGTCTCCAAGGGGCACAGCCAGAGGTGCCCCATATTAGCTGCATTCAGGTCACCAAAGGGGGAGCGCAGAGCATGCTGTGCTCTGCAGGAAGCCTTGGGAAGAGCCCGATGCATTGCTCCCAGCACCTGCCTCCAGAATTTGCTCTCACCCAGCCTGCAGCCACGCACAGCTCCCTGCCGGATCAGACCCCATCCAGCCCTTCTTGCCTGCCCCACAACCCCGAACCACCTCCCAAGCTGCCAGCCAGACTCACCCCAACCATGGTTTTCCACTGAGGGCATTTCCATGCCCTCCAGGGTCTATTCCTCGCCTCGCAGCCCACGGTGCACCCCTGCAGCAGGCAGTGGGGGGGCCTGGAGCAGCCCCTCCGCAGGGCTGCGGCCCCGCAGCGCTATAAGGCAGCCCTTGTGCCTCTCCCCTCCTGGCACCAAGGGGCACAGGAGGGTCTGGCACCGCAGGGACCTCCCCGGCAGCCGGGCACGTGCTTCCCCTTGGCTCTGCCGGAGTTTGGAACAACTTTCTATTTTAATTAACAGGGTCACATTCCCCCCCTTCGTAACGCAGCCAGGTTTTGAGCTGTTGATGGTTATTGCACGGATGAGCTATAAATAAGCAAAGGAGGCAGGACCAGTGCTCCCCGAACGAGCAGATTTCACACGAGTAGCACTTTACACATTGTTTTTAAGGGGAAAGGTGTTGAAACCTCTGGGATGTTGGGAAATGCCCCAGTCCTTCCCTGCACTCAGGGTTTTCCAAGGAGCTGGAGCACTGCATTGGGCGATGCCACGTTTCTCACAGCAGCAATACCCCACCATCAGCACTGTGCACATGCACCCAAAACCCCAGCTTGGCAAGAAGACACCGCCAAGTTTTGTAACACATCCCAAAAGGTCTTTTGTTTCCACCATGAGCAGAGCAGCAGCACTCTGTTTCCAGGTGTTTATAGTGGCTATGAGTTCTGTTTGTGTGGGAAGCTACCCACCGGGCAAAGCTCACCCGCCTTTCATCACCTCCTCACAAAACCACCAAAGAGCTACTTTTCTGCCTTAAATAGTTGATCTGTAACAGTTGTAAGGGCAGAGGAAGGGCAGGAGGGGCTCAGGAGCACCCCATGTACCCCACTCCTCATGGGATGCCGTGCTTCCCCATGCACAACACCAGGAATGTGACAGCATCTTCCCTCATAGCAAAGCAGTGAGCCTCACAGCAGGACTGGGACCTTGTGGGATCCATCCCTGAGGACACAGGGCAACGTTTCCATGCACAAGTGCAGGAGCAAAAGGCTCAGCTCAGCTCGCAGGTTTACACAGACCCCACGGAATGCCCCCAGCAGGACTCGTGCACAGAACTGGCATCCAGAAGGCTGGTGAGCAGAGAGAAAACGCCAGCAGCGCCCGCTGCAGCCCTTCCACATGCTCATCCCTGCAACCAACCCCAATCCTGTCTTGCCACGCAAGCAAATCCCTGCTCCCTGATGGACGCCCATCCTGTGCCCACCAGATCTGCCACCAGTGCCTCAGCACAGCCTTTCCCAGCCCTGGCTGATGGCACAGGGGCAGAGAGAAGCAGCAAAATGAGAGGAAGGTGTGAGAAAACAGGAGTAACTCAGCTATTTGGCTGCAGTGCTGGGGAAACAGCATTGAAAGACACAGTAAGTACTTTCCACCCTGGTCTTAACACCCAAAAAGCCACTGTAATGGAGCAACCCTGCCTCGGACCTTGCTGCACTCATGCACATGGTGCTGCCATCACACAAAGCGCTCGCCGGCTCATGCCGGGATGCTGCCATCGGTCTCAGCAGCATCAAGTCAAAAGGAACAGGGCAAGAGCATCACCCTGGGGCTCCGAGGAGCACCCACGAAAGCACCTACCCACCCCAAACGCGGCACCTTCACCCCTGCGCCGTACCTCACGCCATCGGACTCCAGGACGGCGGTGCCGGCGGGGGG